ATGCTAGCAGAAAGCTACTTAAATATACTCTGTGCCTGCTAATTTCACCATTTAAAAAATTTAAAGAAAAAAGAACACATTTTCACTTAAAATTACCATTTAAATTCTAGGACATCATTTAAATAATTTGTCCAGCACTGATCTTGGGCGCTGAACTGGCCCGCACGATACTTCTCAGCAAACACCGATAATCGCTAAAGTAATTAGATGAACATTTTATACGTTTTTTTTTTTTAATTCATGTATATGATTACTGTTTTGCCTATTATAACAGTATAAAAAGCGTATTCTTGGCTCAAACAACAAGGAAATAACAGGTGCGCGATAAAAGTGAAGAAGGATAAAGAAAATAGAAACAAAGTGATTACAGTCATGACGATGGCTATGAAGACCGAATATGATGACAATGATGACAGAATAAACCAAAAGATCAGTAGCCCTCTATATTTCAAAAAAAATATCTGACTTTGATACGACAGAAAAAAACAGAATTGCTGCTGTACAGCCAACCATTTAAATTTTCGAAAAAAATTTGTTTATACGTATTGAGTCAAAAATAAAAAACTGTCTTTGTACTTGATAAAGAAAATTTCATTTTTTTTTATTTCTAGTAAAAAAATACAAAATATAAGAACAAAAAAAAAGAAAAGAAAAAAAATGTCTACAATGATAGTGATAAAAAATTGTGGCAGACAGCTCCACGGTACCCACTCCTAAAGATGTCAAATAAAACAGATGGGAATTTGCAAGCTTGTTACAAAAACAGAAGAAATCTTTTATTACTTTAATGTTTACCTACTAAAAGAAAAAAAATCAAAAACTCTAGCAAAAACAAATAAATTTTAAAATTAATTCAATAAGAAAAACAAAAGAGAAACTAAATGAATTTATGGATAAAAAATGAAGCCATAATTTTTTTGTTATTTTTTTCCTCGACATTTATAAAACTATGGAAAATTGCTCTGTTTCAAAAAGTTATTTCAGTGACCTGTTTGCGTCTAACAAACTCTTTTTGAAATAACCGTCGTCATTAATGACGTCTACCTTCGTTTCCTTTACACCGCTTAAGTCCGTCTCTTAAGCTGCTATTAGTATTAAAAAAATGTACATTATTCCCTAATTCTAGATTAAAAATACTGTTAGCAACAGTTAGCAATTTTTTTTCAAAGTGTAATGAACCTTTCTATCCGGAATTTAGCAGAAATAGTTGAGAAAATAATGTCAGCAATAACAATAAAATAAATTAGTAAATTTTAATGACTTCATCAAACTACCGTAAGACGTCTAAAAAGAAAAGAAAACAAGAAGAGAAGTTAAAACAATTCAAAAATAAAAATTGCAAGTAAATTTTAAACGTTCTTTAAAATAAATATACATTTATGTCAGCATTTATTAGTGCTAATGATATTCAATAGATATTATTAACATTGATTCTGTTACATCTGTTATTTGATTTTAAAAAAATTCTATAAAAATAAAAGCAATACAATTATTGCTTATATTTTTCTTTTCCTTTTCCTTCCTCGTTGTTATTACAATCGTCATTTCAAAACCTTTTGTTTCTAAACACTCAAAAAGAAAAAAAAAACGTGGAACGAACAAAGAGAATACAGTAAAAAAATTTATTACTAAAATTGGCTAACCATTTTCTTGTTGAGATCCCAAAATACGTAGAGAGTTTGTTTGGGCCGACAACGATGAACTGAGTAAATACGATAAATATGCATTCTGAAATTAAGACAAGTGAAGCAAAAATCCTCCTATTTTGTTCTACAAAATTGGAAAAATGATGAAAAAATTTATCAGAATATTTATCCGCCTAATGACAATGCGTACAAAAAAATTTCATGGCAACAAAGTATGAAATAAACTATTCGAAAAATTTCTAGTGCTTTCTTTCGCCATTTGGTTGAACAACAGTCAACTACTGGAGACACATTCAACCTACTTGAATATGTTGCGCTTGTGAAAGGTCTGTGCTGCCACTTGATGCAGCGGCTAATGCTGTGGCAAAAGTTGTCGGATCCGGAAGCTGACAGTTTTGCGGTACAGCAAATGCAGACGGTCCAGCTGCAAACAAATGCGGCCAAACCATCGGTGCATCACGATCACCATTTTCGGCTGATCTTCAAAAAAAGAAAAAAAAACCAATAAAAAATAATAACGCATGATTGGCAAATAAGTAATAAAAAACGTATATCTATTAAATAATTAGCAGCAAAACAGGCAGGCGACAACAAATTATAAAAAAGAAAAAACAATTAAATTTATAGCCTTTTTAAGTGTCGTTTGTTAACTTCTCTTTTTCTTTTTTCTTGGCCCCATAATATTTGTTACTTTTTGTACAAATCTGTATTGCATATCTTTTTTGTTTCTTTCTCTTTTGTTTTATGTGAGATAATTGTCGCATACCTCTTTTTCGATCTTTTAAGACTGCAGAAAATCAGAAGGAAAAATAGAAATCAAAACAAAATCTTTTATGCTATTTTCTTTTACGTACACTTTTTTATTGAAAGATAATAGTTGAATAAAGTTTGCTTATCGCCTTTCCTCTTTCCATTTATTTATCTCATTTTTTTTTTTTTTAAGCGAGAAGAACAACAAAAATAATTTACTGAAGTAAACAGAAACAAAATTCTATGTAACAGACCTGCTTTGCTCGTCATCCGAAGACTGACATCTGTCACCCAATACATTATCATCTTCGCTTGCTGACGAACTACTAAACTCAAAAATTATTTCTATCAAATTACAAATAATTTTTACGTTTGACTCTCTCTGTTTTTTCTTAAAGCCCTTTAACATTCACCAATTATACATTATAACCACCAAGCATATTTAACTACTAAGACCTATTTTGCTGAATAATGTGGCGTTCACTCCCAACGATAACATGATTGATTAATTTCTACAAAGCAATCAGGAATCACAATATAAAAAAAAACATCTACTTCTCAAGACACTCCGTAACAAAATTAAAATACTTAATTTGACACAAAAAAGTTTTAATCTTTTTGTAAAAATTTTAACGAATTAATAATTTGAACTTCCTGACTAGTGCAAAAGTAAGAAACGAAAGAGAAAAACAGGAAACCTGGCTCGACTGCTGCTTGGCACTTTTTTTTCCAAAAGTTTACTAATACTGTAAGCGCTTGATGCTCCGTTCAACGATTTCAGATGATTGTTTGCATCGCTTCGTCGATCAAAAACATTCTCTGGACTCGACGACAAATTCATCTAAAAATGTCAAATATTCGAAATCATTTGGAATAACCATGAAAAAACTAAAAGAAAATAAAGTAAATATCAATAACGAAAAATGAAACTTTGTGTATTTAGTTAATGGCCATCTATCTATTTATCCATCCAGTTTTATGTACCATTTATACTGTGATTACACCACTATGTCATAGTTAAAAAGTGTGTAAAAGTGTCAGAAAATTGATGCAAAAAAAGCGTAATGTGAACTAACAGGAAGCTGAGACTCTTTGGTAGTCGAATCTGTATCAATTTGTTCGCTGTCCTGAAATGGCTTAACACCGGAAGATGCTGCGCTGGCCAACGAAACAATCGAGTTCATTAAAGTAACATGTGATCATTAAAGAACAAAAATAAGAGATTTGTAGGAATTAAATTGCTGAAAAATAGAGTTCATGATTATTATTATTGTTATTATTATTACTATTTCTTGCAGTTTCCATCATTAGTGCAAGCTATATTATGCTCATAATAAAGCTAACACAATAAATAGAAGAAAAAAACCCGGCTAATTCTCATCTTTAAAATGTCAACTGTATAAAATATAAGAAATTACAACAACAATTAAACTGACAAAGATAACGATAACGTCACTGACAGCGACAATGAATCGACAGTCATGCCAATTTCCTTCCCGTCCCCGTCCCCGCACCTTTGACAATGAACCACACAGTTATATCGTAAGAATTTCAATCAAACAACTTTTTTTCCTTCTTCCCCCTCCCAGTCATTCTAAACCCTCAATAGATTATACATCAAAAACGAAGTAAAAAATTTTAAACACTACCCCCATTCACTAACACTTCCTTCTTCCTAGTCATTAAAAATAAATAAACGCCTAGCTTCACCCACATAATACACCTTAAGTACACAGAAAAATACTCGCAAATATAGAAATGCTTAAAAGTTCGTGAAATTTTATACACGCATACAACATACTCTGAACACACAAACCAAATGACATAATGAACTGCTCTTAAAACTAACGCAACAAATTGTTGCTTTGATAATTTTCGCAGATTATTTTCTTAAGCCAGAAAAAATTTTAAGCCAATGATTTTTACAAAAAAAATTGAAACATTCTGCTGATTCTAGCAAAAAAGAAGATAATGTGAAAAAGTAGCAATGTTTTTCAAAAAAAGATAAATTCATATAAAAATTTTTTTTGAAATTATTAAATAAAAAAGAGCGGCAAAGTTACTGCAGCCAAGTTAAAACATCATAAATAGATTTATAAATATAACACTTATGCATATATCAAATAAAAAAAGAGCCCCTAAACGACAGAAAAAGATGACAAGGCAAAAATTAAGCACCACCACCACCAGCTGCAACAGCAGGAAGAGGAGAATAGATAGAAGACGATGATGAAGAAGAAGTTGAAAAGTCGAAGATGAAGCTGCCACTGCTGTGGTACCAATGGACGAAACACCAAAAGGACACCGTTAAGTAATGTTTATTTAAAATATAAAAAAAA